CACGAACTCTGAATCCTTATTGCCACCCAAGTTTGCATAGCTGGTACTCATCATCACAAGCAATGGGAGGATAGAGGGAAGCAGAATGGTTATATAATTCCTGGCAGTTCTGATAGCTTGGTAGTGACTACTCCTGCTGACCATTAATACAAACAAAGTTAACAGTACTGTTGGCTGGGCACAGTGGCTCACACCTGTAATTCCAGCACTTCGGGAGGCCACAGCAGGCAGATCACAAGGTCAAGAGATCAAGACCATCCTGGCCAACATGGTGAAACCCTGTCTGCCAAAAATACAAAAATTAGCTGGGCATGGTGACGTGCCTGTAATCCCAGCTACTCAGGAGGCTGAGGCAGGAGAATTGCTTGAACCTGGGAGGTGGAGGTTGCATTGAGCCGAGATCACGTCATTGCATTCCAGCCTGGCAACAGAGCGAGACTCCATCTCAAAAAAAAAAAAAAAAATAGTACTGTTGTCTTTTGCACAAAAAAACAATACATAGCCTCTCTCCATGTGAAAAGAATAAATTTACTTTATCTTAAGTCCAGTACGAAGGAGTTACCATTTCATAATTACTCTTGAAATAAAGGTGCTCCATAAACACAAATTGCCCCTTTTCTTGGTACATAAAAATGATGATACAGCATTGCAGGACATACGTCTTAGAACTATTGTGTGAGTTTTATATGAATTCATTATGAAAAATAGTACAACAGGGTCAGTCACGTGGTAGATATTCATTAGTATTTGGTTTTGGTAGTAGTAATTTGTATTCTTTTGTAACTTACCTATTCCTGTCATTCTCCAGTTCTTCTTTCCCTTGATTTATAAGAGCTGCTTTACTTTCAATATTTTGACCTTTTTATGTAGGAAATAGTTCATTTGTATTATTTGCCTTTTGTTTATGTTCTATTTTATTATACAGAAATTTTAAAATCTTCTTCTGAGTTTTATAACTATTTACCTTGGATGGCTTCTAGATTTTGGTGTCATTCTTGGGAAGGACTTTCCCACCCAAAAATTATAAAAATATTTTTTGTGTATCTTTGTACATTCATACTTTTACTTTTTTAAGGTTATGACCTTTAATTTTACGTATAATTTCCTTTCATTTATGGTTTCGGATAGGTGCCATCCTTTTTGTGCATATGTAAACCCAAGTTTGCATAGTCATCATAGTTGGTACATGTGGCATTTCTCTGGTTATCTACCTGGTAGCACAGAAATTGTATATAATCAAATCTCTGACTTGTCCCTAATAAATAGCATGTTAACAATTAAAATCAGTTTTTTTTGAAGTTGAACATGAATTTTGAGCACATATATCCATTTCTCTTAGGTTGACCCAGATTCTGAAAAATTCTGTTTTTAAATTGCAGTAATAGTAGAGACTGAGATATATATACCTAATGAATGCCTACATTTTGTTCATTTTTTTCTCCAAGTTGTCTTCCTAAATTCTGTAGGTTCCTGGGTATCTTTCACTTACTGTACAACTATTATAATAAGACAGTACATTTAATGGACTTCTAAATGTTACATTAGAGACATGATGTGCCATGTCTGTCTTGTAGCTTTCTGTGCTTGACACCCACATGCCCACACAACCTTTGGCAAACTGAGAAGTGTAGGCTTCGTGGGTTTACCAAAAAAGAGTGTTTTTGTTTTTCCAGTGAGTACCAAAGCTGAAACATTCCTTTTACTTGAAGATTTGGAAAGGGAAACCATTTTTATTTCAAACAAGTTTATTAGCTGGGCAGGGTGGCTCCCACCTGTAGGTTGGGAGCACTTCGGGAGGTTGGGACAGGGGATTACTTAAGCGCAGGCATTTGAGACCAGCCTGTGCAAAATAAGAAGACCCCATCTCTACAAAAACAATTTAAAAATTAGCTGGCCATAGTGGTGTACGCCTGTAGTTCCAGTTACTCAGGAAGCATGGATGGGAGGATAGCTTGAGACTCAAAGGTCAGTGCTGCAGTGAGCCAGGATTGTGCCACTGAACTCCAACCTGGGTGACAGAGCAAGACTCTGTCTCTTAAAAAAAAAAAAAATTAAAATTAAGTACATTAATGTTTTGGAGAAGAATACAACGTTTGTGTATATATATATATATATATATATATAT